CTACTTATAGTTTTGACTGCCCCTTGTTATCTTCTACTTATAGTTTTGACTGCTGCCCCTTGGTATCTTCTACTTATAGTTTTGACAGCCCCTTGGTATCTTCTACTTATAGTTTTGACTGCCCCTTGGTATATTCTACTTATTGTTTTGACTGCTGCTCCTTGGTATCTACTACTTATAGTTTTGACAGCTGCCCCTTGGTATCTTCTACTTATAGTTTAGACAGCTGCCCCTTGTTGTCTTCTACTTATAGCTTTGACAACTGCCCCTTGTTATCTTCTACTTATAGTTTTGACTGCTGCCCCTTGGTATCTTCTACCTATAGTTTTGACTGCTGCCCCTTGGTATCTTCTACTTATAGTTTTGACAGCTGCCCCTTGGTATCTTCTACTTATAGTTTTGACTGCTGCCCCTTGGTATCTTCTACTTATAGTTTAGACAGCTGCCCCTTGGTATCTTCTACTTATAGTTTTGACTGCTGCCCCTTGGTATCTTCTACTTATAGTTTTGACAGCTGCCCCTTGGTATCTTCTACTTATAGTTTTGACAGCTGCCCCTTGGTATCTTCTACTTATAGTTTTGACTGCTGCCCCTTGGTATCTTCTACTTATAGTTTTGACAGCTGCCCCTTGGTATCTTCTATTTATAGTTTTGACTGCTGCCTTTTGGTATCTTCTACTTATAGTTTTGACAGCTGCCCCTTGGTATCTTCTACTTATAGTTTTGACAGCTGCCCCTAGGTATCTTCTACTTATAGTTTTGACAGCTGCCCCTTGATATCTTCTACTTTTAGTTTTGACTGCTGCTCCTTGTAATCTTCTACTTATAGTTTTGACAGCTGCCCGTTGATATCTTCTACTTATAGTTTTGCCTACTGCTCCTTGGTATCTTCTACTTATATTTTGACTGCTGCTCCTTGTTATCTTCTACTTATAGTTTTGAGAGCTGCCCCTTGGTATCTTCTACTTATAGTTTTGACTGCTCCTTGGTATCTTCTACTTATAGTTTTGACTGCTCCTTGGTATCTTCTACTTATAGTTTTGACATCTGCGCCTTGGTATCTTCTACTTATAGTTTTGACTGCTGATTCTTGTTATCTTCTACTTATAGTTTTGACTGCTGCCCCTTGTTATCTTCTACTTATAGTTTTGACTGCTGCCCCTTGGTATCTTCTACTTAAAGGTTTGACAGCTGCCCCTTGGTATCTTCTACTTTTAGTTTTGACTGCCCCTTGGTATCTTCTACTTATAGTTTTGACAGCTGCCCCTTGGTATCTTCTACTTATAGTTTTGACTGCTGCTCAGTGATATCTTCTACTTATAGTTTTGACAGCTGCCCCCTTAGTATATTCTACTTATAGTTTTGATTGCTGCCTCTTGGTATCTTCTACTTATAGTTTTGACTGCTGCTCCTTGGTATCTTCTACTTATAGTTTTGACAGCTGCCCCTTGGTATATTCTACTTATAGTTTTAACTACCCTTTGGTATCTTCTACTTATAGTTTTGACAGCTGCCCCTTGGTATATTCTACTTATAGTTTTAACTGCCCCTTGGTATATTCTACTTATAGTTTTGACAACTGCCCCTTGGTATATTCTACTTATAGTTTTGACTGCTGCCCCTTGGTATCTTCTACTTATAGTTTTGACTGCTGCTCCTTGGTATATTTTACTTATAGTTTTGACTGCTGCCCCTTGGTATCTTCTACTTATAGTTTTGACAGCTGCCCCTTGGTATATTTTACTTATAGTTTTGACTGTCCCTTGTTATCTTCTACTTATAGTTTTGACTGCCCCTTGGTATCTTCTACTTATAGTTTTGACTGCCCCTTGTTATCTTCTACTTATAGTTTTGACTGCTGCCCCTTGGTATCTTCTACTTATAGTGTTGACTGCCCCTTGGTATCTTCTATTTATAGTTTTGACTGCTGCTCCTTGTTATCTTTTACTTATAGTTTTGACTGCTCCTTGGTATCTCCTACTTATAGTTTTGACTGCTGCTCCTTGATTACTTCTACTTATAGTTTTGACTGCTGCCCCTTGTTATCTTCTACTTATAGTTTTGACTGCTGCTCCTTGGTATCTTCTACTTATAGTTTTGACAGCTGCCCCTTGGTATATTTTACTTATAGTTTTGACTGCTGCCCCTTGGTATCTTCTACTTATAGTTTTGACAGCTGCCCCTTGGTATTTTTTACTTATAGTTTTGACTGCCCCTTTGTATCTTCTACTTATAGTTTTGACTGCTGCTCCTTGTTAATTTCTAATTATAGTTTTGACTGCTCCTTGGTATCTTCTACTTATAGTTTTGACTGCCCCTAGGTATCTTCTACTTATAGTTTTGACTGCTGCCCCTTGTTATCTTCTACTTATAGTTTTGACTGCTGCTCCTTGGTATCTTCTACTTATAGTTTTGACAGCTGCCCCTTGGTATTTTTTACTTATAGTTTTGACTGCTGCCCCTTGGTATCTCCTACTTTTAGTTTTGACAGCTGCCCTTGGTATTTTTTACTTATAGTTTTGACTGCTGCCCCTTGATATCTTCTACTTATAGTTTTGACTGCTACTCCTTGTTATCTTCTACTTATAGTTTTGACAGCTGCTCCTTGGTATATTCTAATTATAGTTTTGTCAGCTGCCCCTTGGTATCTTCTACTTATAGTTTTTACAGCTGCCCCTAGGTATCTTCTACTTATAGTTTTGACTGCCCCTTGTTATCTTCTACTTATAGTTTTGACAGCTGCCCCTTGGTATCTTCTACTTATAGTTTTGACTGCCCCTAGGTATCTTCTACTTATAGTTTTGACTGCTGCCCCTTGGTATCTTCTACTTATAGTTTTGACTGCTCCTTGTTATCTTCTACTTATAGTTTTGACAGCTGCCCCTTGGTATCTTCTACTTATAGTTTTGACAGCTGCCCCTAGGTATCTTCTACTTATAGTTTTGACTGCCCCCTTGTTATCTTCTACTTATAGTTTTGACAGCCCCTTGGTATCTTCTTCATTGTCTTCAAATTCACAGAATGGTCGTATTTTCTGAAAGCAAGCTCAGTGATATTGTTAGCATGCCTTCCTACAATCTTATATCAGGAGAAGTACAAATACTATAAGAGGGTCTGGATGGGGGGTCATTCGTTTCTGTATTCTTTAATTTTTTAGGCCATGTTTCTCTATTCTTTATACTTTTTGTCCATTATTCTCTATTCTGTAAATCCCCATCCACACCGTCCTATAAGGGGAAGATTTCATACAGCAAGTGAGTATGACACTGTTAAATTTGAACAGGAATTTCAACGCAGAAAAAACCCCAAAGGAAACTGTTTCAGGCAATAAATTGACGTAAAACCTACTTTATAAGTGAGGTCTATCAAGCCAAGAGAGCCAAACTTAAAATACAGTCACAGTGATCACCTTAGTAATATGCCAGAAAAGACAATTTCAGACTTTGAAATAATACTCCCGATGTTAAATCTATTTGTCTTTCCTTATTTTTTGAAGTCGGGTTAATGTCTTATTGACGTATATCGACACCTCTATTTATTTATAATGGTTGTTTAGAGATCTGCCTTAGTAACAAGGTTAGCCATCAGTCAGATATCTTCTTCAATGACTAGATTAGCCACTAGTCTAAAATCTGCCTTTGATTAACCATCAATCAGAGACCTGTCTTAGTGATTAGGTTAGCCATCAGTCAGATATCTTCTTCAATGACTTAATTACCCATTAGTCTAAAATCTGCCTTAGTGAATAGATTAATCATCAATCAGAGACCTGCCTTAGTGGCTAGATTAGCAATCAGTCAGATATCTTCTTCAATGACTAGATTAGCCACTAGTCTAAAATCTGCCTTAGTGAATAGATTAACCATCAATCAGAGACCTGCCTTAGTGGCTAGGTTAGCAATCAGTCAGATATCTTCTTCAATGACTAGATTAGCCACTAGTCTAAAATCTGCCTTAGTGAATAGATTAACCATCAATCAGAGATCTGCCTCAGTGACTAGGTTAGCAATCAGTTAGAGATCTGTCGTAATGACTAGTTTAACCATCAGTTTGAGACCTTACTTAGTGACTAGGTAAGGTATCAATAAAAGACCTTTGTGAATAGGTCAGCCAACTGTCAAACATTAACCATTTTGAAATTATAACTATGACTACAGTATTTGTTTTCTTTGATGAATGCACACCATTTAGGTACGAAACTTCACGATGTGTCGTGTAGGGAGAGTGCCACACTTTCTGCATGTTAAAGAAAATTCGTACAAAATTAAATTTTTTGTCGCAACCCTCTTTTTTTCAAGTGGTAGTCCAAGTGTCTACCCCTTTATCACGGTCGACCACAATACTCTAACCTACCTATGGGATATAATGGTTTTTATTTCTTGTCCTGAATATGAGTAATAAAATATTTGTCACTGCACGGAGGTTAAAGAAAACACACATCAATCAATACATTGGGAAAAGCAGAAATGTTTATATTAAAAAAAAAATCAAACTTGATTATCATGTTGCTGATCAGGTGCTCATCACTATATTCATTCATACTTCAAAGTTAATAATTTATTTATTAATTCATCTATTCACCCATCCATTTATCCATTTATTTATTTTGTGTTAAAATCACAGAAACGAACCATCCATGCAATTAATTTTCAGCATATTATTATGACATTCCGTTAGCCACAAATCAATATATGAGTATTAACTAGATTTTCATCCAAAAGCATTTTCTTCATCAAACCCGTCAACCGTTCTGCAGCAAATGTATTGGATTGTCAAACAATCCAATTATACACACTTGTCGTTGATATGCAGTCGCTAAATTAATTAAATTTGATATTTCTTTGAAATGTTATTGTCATTTCTAATAATGTTTCCATGATCTCTGTTTAAGGAAAATAAAAAAAAAATGATAACGGCTTGATTGCAGCTATATGTGGAAAGAACTATTATACAATTTCCTACAAATCTGTTCTAGTTATAATGCATGACTTGATACAATGTCTCAGAAATTACAATTTGATTAAGCAATTATTGCGAGTCGAACAAATAAAATGATGGATCTTATAGGACTAAATAGTGCAAATATTATTGGCTGTCATTGACATTTATTTTACAATATGTTTCATTTCACTTTGTAACTGGGTTCGATTCCGAGAGCATACGCATGCAGCTATAATCCGTCAATGTGAAGTTATCGATTTTGTGTTTCCAAGATGGACACGCTAAGAGAATAACTCACCATTTTCTTTCTTGATTTGCTCCAAGGAATGAAAACCAATGGCACTATGATTGTTTCATTGTGAATCCGGCTGCAGCGGTTACAGTAAACATCTCGATATTCAACGACCATTACTTGATAGTTATTATTGTATGATTAAATTAAGATATTCTAAGTAATGTCTGGATAATTGTGTGACATGACGATTATTCCATGGAATAGGACATAATAATCTTTTTCTACATTGTTTTCCCCCCATTGCAGATGATTATCTGTCGAATGGAAGGAAGCGTATTTAGTCGTCTGCTTAGCTTTGATTCTGAAATCTCGCTCATGCTGAATAAAAAATTAATGGATGATTTTGAAGGTTTTTTCGCAAGGTGCTATAGAATTCCTCCACGTGCCAATTTGTTCATTTCATATTTAACATGGACTGTTGTACGAAAAAGCGTTTATTCATGGTGATGACGAGTGCATGTGCGTGTGCCGCCTTTGGGTTATTAGCGATCTCTGTCGCCACCGATTATTGGCTATATACAAGTGATCTACAACCAAGTAAAAATAACGGTACCAAAGGAGTTTATAAAAATCATTGGTCGGGACTCTGGCGACAATGTACAGTTACAGGTAATTTGTTTTCTATATTTTTAAAATCACAAATTTTATGTTTGACGTGATTTAAAATCACTGCATATTGAGTATTGAGTAGTCACAAGAAACGTCCAACAGTATTTATCTATATGTTATCAATACCATTATTTTCCAAAAACGTATGCTGTATAAATACACATGCAAGGTACAAGGGATGCGTTACGTTGGCATCCCTTTCTGTAAAAAAATATATTTCTATGTTACAAAGCCCAAACCGTGTTCATAATTCTTGGCTGTATAGGCCTGGTGTGAATTAATGTCTATTTTCCGTTATATATATTAAATGTGATTTATCTTTTTTTCTTCAAAATAACCTTTCTTTTGAATTCCTTTAAAAAGTTGATACGACCATGATGCTATGCTGCCTACAATATCACCACATGGTAATCCTAACTTTATATCTAATGTCCAAGCGTATAGTCTGGACTTTCGCTATCTCATATTAAACATAAAATATTTTTTGATATTACATGTACATGTATGTAAAAAACGAATGACAAGTGTAGATATATGTTTATCTATGCAAAATTCTGCTTCAATTTTAGTTTGACCAACACGTTTCTTTTTTTTAATGCGTTTTGTTGCATACATAGACGTCGACGCGCTACTGAAAAAAATCCGTGTAAAATTGATTCGAAATCCTTCGGGACATTTTATTATGTAAAATAGCGTGTTTTGAGACGGAAAAGCCATTTGTTTCAAACTATACATAAAATGGAGCTAGCAGCTTAATTCAAAAGCTCATTATAATCACGATATATGCATGGCAAGCACGACTACTATAATTTTGTAGATTTGATTTTTTGTCATTTGTTTTACAAGTATGATGACTGAGATTTAGTAACACACGTGACACCTAGATACTACCTTTGTTTTTATACTTTGATGGAAACCGAGGATTATAAAGAATCTTGAAAAAAAAAATATTGTCAATTTATTGAATATGCTTAGAATTGAAAAAGGCTTTGAGGATAAGTATGAAATGTAGACATACTTTTAAAACATAATCTAACACTGGAAAGCGAAAATGTGCTTTGTAGAAGTTACTGTTTCACAACTGTATCGATAATAATCTCTTGATTTTATAAACACTTGCTTATACGGAGTAGTCAGAATAAATTTTAGTTTTCCAAAGGCAACTTTAACTAGACGGTAATCGTTCAATTATAAATTGAGGAGTTAAATTAAACTTAACACATATATCATATTTTAAACTGAAGGTAGATGTAGGCTTATCTGGTATTAAACAGCAAAAAATAGTAATAAATATATTAAAGAAGTACATGTGGGTATTTAGAATGACCAAGAATAACTTGCGGTTTGATATAACATTCATTACAATAGAAAACAAAAATACCAAACATATTCGATCTTTCGCATTACTGTAATTGGGACATGGAATAAATCATTTTTTTCAGGGATACTGAAGTCAATACTCTAAGTTTTTCCTTAAATAGTACTTGAGGTTAGTCGTGTAAATTAGTATATGAAAATTATGTCGCATGAAGCGACCTTGTACCTTCAGGGATCTGAATTATGACCATTTACGACGTACTTCATACAATAACCTATAAGTATCCCATAGTTAACTGACAGGTCATCAACTGAGGATGATGATATAATATAATTCAATCTAATGTCCATTATATTGCTTCAATGTAGTCATGGTCTGTCGAACATCAGCAAACATTTATCGTGTTAATCGGCCATCAAAGATCATTTTAATATCCGAAACACGAGAAACTTTTTCATCATAAACGTCTCAAATATATTTAAGATGTTGACTACAGTAAAAACATCTTTGAAATAAATAAAAGCTTAATGCATAATAATAGCCATTGACTTCCACGGTAACTGATCTTAATGATTGGTTACGAGGGCCGAGGGTATTGGAAAGATAATAAAGCTATAATTGTATTTGTAAAATCATTAACTACTTCTGTAAAAAGCAAATACAATGAGTCATTCACTGGAAGGCCTGTATCTTTATAGAGAGATTTACAAACTTGATAATCGATGATTTCCACAAAACAGCGCATTAAATACGGTCTAAAATCATGCCGTGTTTCTAAAAATCTTTTTGTTTTGAGAGTCCAATATATGAATTGATTCGTCGATTTGGACATTGATATCCATCCTGTAAGCTTTATAAGAATAATATCAAGCACAGAGAATATTTCTTTGAAAAGACTCTGTTGCTCCGAATATATAGACAAGTGCATTGGCCCTGTCTCTCTGCCTTACCCATAAGATGCAAACGTTTTTGAACTTACAAAATATTATTAATTAATATAGATTTATGGATTTATGAAACCTCAAACTGACAGTGAATTAAACGTCGACCTGTGTTGTTCAAATTCTTAAATAAGCCATCACTTTTTTCTTACACAAGTCATTGAGTTGTAGAAGGGGAATACCATACATGACGTCATTTTATTGTGTCTTAAGGTTCCAGATTCATTGTGAAATAAACATCCTTGATAGGGTTTTAATTAACATTGACCTTATTTCCATGGTTCATTGAACAACGTTTAGTTTTCAAGACTGGTTGATCCTTTTCAGTTACCATCAGTAACAGGTAAACTATATTTGGTCTGTAGAATAATTGTAAGTGATACATGTTTGTCTGACAAGGTTAGCTGGACCTAAACCAATTCACATCAATATCATTTTTATATATTGGTTGGTGTTGGTGTCTCGGTTACTAAAGAATAAGTAAAAACAACTATATTTAATCAAAAGAATCATTTTAAGTGGTAAAACCTTGACCTTCTATTTATGGTTCACTGATCCAACTTAATTTTTTGCTATTAGTGTTTCTCAGTCTTTGGTTTTCTATGTCGTGTTTTTAAACTGTTATTTGTGTTTTGGTTGTTTTTAGTTTTTAGCAATGGTATTGTCAGTTTGTTTTCGACTAATGAGTTTGAATGTCCCTTTGGTATCTTTCGACGCACTTTATTAACTATAAGTGAGTGAGCATCCAATGTATTTTGTACACAACCATAAAAACGATTTAACAGCTAAGTTCATTGAGATTATTAGTGAATAAAAAGAAATTGATATCATTAACCACCATTTTTATTCATGTGTTATGCATACATCTGTTCACTTGTAGGAGTTACATGTTAATCAAGTTAATAAGAAAATTGAGCAATTACTCGTTCACATTTGTTTTTCTCGGGAAATCTTGTTTTGATCTACGTTGTTGTTTTTAATTATAGACTATGCAATCCTTGCATGAAATTGATATAAAACCTATTAAAGAATTTTATGAATTTTCTTCTATGCATTCCATCTTGTTTTAATCGCCTGTCATTTCTATGCATGCCCATGAAATGATTTAAAGATTAGTATTGATTTTGACATTCCTTATTAGACATGCATTGTATATATCGTCTGCAAGCATGCGTTTAAGTAAATAAAGATGGCGGAAATGTAATTGTCGTCTGCATTAGCGGTCAAATTTCATCTTACAATAATCCAGAGCATGACATTTAGATTTATTGCCTTATTAAGATGATAAAACTACCGGTTACTAACCATTCGATTGCTGTCTAGATGGTTGCTTGACGGATTACGTCCTACGAGCATCATAGGCAGTTATATTCAATGCAAGGAACGTGGTACGAGATTTTGATTTCTTCTCGAGAATATGGGTAAATTCATAAAGGATGGAGGTTGAGAACGAAATTCTGCCTTCCAACAGACAACTGACTGCATGAATGTCCTTGTTCCTTTACTTAAAGTTGATTAATGTTTTTTTTTATATAAATTATTGTAAACCTGAAAGGTAACAACTATAAGTTCTCAATTGATACTTTCCTAAAAAATGAAACCTCGGTTTGCAAGACTTGGTTACTGACACATAATCAGTAGTGCATATTTAAAACTTCATATTTCATTGCAGAAATATTAAACTTTTCTTGACCGCTATTTATCCCACAGATCAATGACACCACATACTTAATAAAGAAGTTTTAAAGTTATGGCTAGCAATATTTTGTTTCTTTTCGTGTGTGCATTTTTTGTTTTAGCAGCAAGACTATGTGTTATCATTCATGACCTTTTTTCCTTCAAGAAACATAAATAAATATCAAACAATTCAGATTAAAAAAAATGTAAGTGCACCTTTTTGTCACATTTCGCATCGTAAATTGAACTTGCTCAAATGGTATCTGATAAGCCTGATCCTTTTAATGATTCGAGTATAACGTTATAAAGCTATTCATGCCTTATGAGTAATATTGATGTTTTGCTTAGAAATAATATTGATGCAATGCTATAAATTATAATTCTAGTGTAATTTTTTTAAATAATCTAGTTATAATACTATAAAATAATCACGTGATACGTTGCGAACTTCTAATAGTGTAATACATGGGTACCATAAAATAATAGACTATTTTCATATTACCGACTTTTGACTCCGGGTTATATAATTTGTCGACTGGTTACCTTAGACATCATGGTACTCGGTCAAGTAAGAGCAGCCAAAATAAGTAAAATCAAACATATAATCGGTGTAATTTGAGGGGAAAGTTAACTGTTTTCCGATGATTTTGTAGTGAAAAAAAAATATTAACCAGGTAATTTTCCCCCAAAATTGTACCGATTGAAAGCTTGTTTTACTTCTTTAGCTTGCTCTTACCTGACTTGGTACCATGATGTCCAAGGTAACCAGTCGAAAAATTATATAATCCGGAGTCAAAAGTCGGTAATATGAAAATAGTCTATTTAAGTGGTATGATAACACGAATTCTAGTAAAATGACAAGCACTAATTTTAGTGTAATGATAAACACTGATTTTAGTGTAATGGTAAACACTAATTTTAGTGTAATGATAAACACTAATTTTAATGTAATGATAAACACGATTTATAGTTTAATGATAAACACTAATTTTAGTGTAATGATATACAGGAATTTTAGTGTAATGATAAACACTAATTTTAGTGTAATGATAAAAACTAATTTT